TTTTGGGTAACACAAAGGTTTTTATCGTACCAAAAGACGAGGCCAAACCAATCGAGACGTCATCCACCTCCACATCATTGGTGGACATGAAATTGATCCCGCTTGATCTTTATTCCTATAGTCTTGGATTTTCACCTTTTTGGACTCGTAAAATGCCCTAGGAGAATAGTGATTCCGCACCGCTCCTGGCAAAACCCTCGTCTTTTCATAATGCAGGAATCCAAACCCTCACAATCTCCTGGAAAAAAATGTATTCTCAAAGCAGGAGGTTATTTGGTAAAAAAATTTAAGCTTGGCTATTTTATAACACAAAAAAACAAGAAGCATTTGTCACATCAAGTTCATATTCGTATTTTTCAACATTTGGTCGATTTGTTGAAACTCAAACTAAAAAAATATATATATTTCTAAACGAATTTATACAAATACACAAATAACAAATAGCTACAGCATTCACTTCAAAAAATACTTTTAAAACTTAATTTATAATGGACCGCCAACCCATTAAGAGGTAATCTGTATGCTTTGTCCAACTATATTTATGATTTATCCCCTATGCCCCATAAAATGCTATTTGAGAGCAACAAGGATTTACAACAATAATCACGATCCCGTTTTCATTCTTTTAATGGTTCAATTCAACGGTACGCATTTTAAAACAATAAAAAAATTCATAACATAAAGCCCATTAAAGAAAATAGAGAAAAATATGAAACTTCGTCCAGTGACGTTATCGGCATATTTCCGGATGGGTAAATAGCAATTAAGCAGTTGACACACGGACACCTACTTGATATGGAAATCCCGCGTACAAGCCCTGCGTACAGATGAAGGTCGACGGGACCCACATAACGGAGGTGAGCCGTGCCTAGGCTCAATATAGAGAGCGGGTAGGCATGCCACAAAATATGAAATTTATGAAAATTGCCGTTGGGATCAACGGAAAATTTGTCAAGGAATTATTCTATTTTCAAAAGAAGCCTTGTAATATAAATGGTATCCTGTTCCTTGTCTCATAACGCTGAACATGCAGAAATTACTTCGAAGGGCAAGAAGAATTTTTAAGATGAAACCTGGAAGATAAGTCTATAGTGTTTATAGTGCAGGACTTCCACCACCAAACCTGATATAGTGGATCTTTACTCTACTAGTTTACTCTAGTATCTCTACTCCGCTACTCTCTGGGTCGATGTGCCCAGGGCTAGATCATTGCCGTCTTTGTACGCATCCTGGGCTTCCGCAGTCCACTTGAGTTAGTTCTAGGTCCATAATAACCGGACACTTTTAACTGCAAATGTGTCGTTGACATCGACGTGGTTTGGGTAATCAATATTTCATAAAAATAATCAAAATTTGTCCAGAAACGTTTTTTAATAGACTTTCTTTTTAAGTAATTGTATAATCAATTGTACCGGATAAGCGCCGCCTGATAAGAACTGTTGTGTAGTAATATTTCCGATAAAGATTTTTTTATTATTGAAATTCCCCAAAAGGTGAAATAACTGTCCAAATTATTTTTAGTCCATTTTCGTGGTCCGATTGACCATATAACATCTTTCAATTAATCACTCTTTATGTAAGGTATTGGTTGAAATGAAAAAGTTGGTGTCACGAGTGGGATTTGAACCTACGACCTTCGAATCCCGCTCGTGATACCAACTTTTTCATTTCAACCAATACCTTACATAAAGAGTAATTAATTGAAATAAATTTTTAGTGTACAACCGAGGAAAATGCTTTATTTTGATCTCCAAATTGTAAATTTCAAAGATATTAAATGTTATTATCGCCAAGTATAAAGTAGCCGATATTAGACCAAATAATGTCAATATTTTTTATACGTTTGTATCATAAATTGTTTTGTCTTTATTAGTGTAAATCGATTCCGTTCGCCACGAATCAAACTGATTTTTTTTTCTTTCGTTGCATTTATTTTGATCGGCCCTTTTATCTTCTGTGACGATCGATATGGATATTTAACATACAAACGCCGAATCTATTCAACAACCCACATTTGAAATAAAACAATTTGTCAATACTAACATAAAAATGCATATCGACTAGTAAAGGATACTAGCGATCAGTTAAAAATTAACCTTATCGTTAAAAAGAAGGATACAATCAACACCCCCAAAAGTTCATATCTGAAACCCACTGATTTGGCTAGCATAACGTAGGATGGAACGACAAACGCTCTTAATTACCTTGAATTTGACCTAAAGATGTACCAAGTATTGGTGAACAGATTTCAAATCTTATTGTTAAATTAGGTTGGGTTAGGTTAGGTTAGAGAAGGGTTAGGTGAGGTTAAATAAGGATTTGGTTAGGTTACATATCCGTGATTTAATGTTTTTCGGAGAAATTACGCACTATAATGTTATGTTTCGGCGTTTTTATACAAAATTATGTTTTATATTTTTATAATAAAGTTGGGATGAGATTGTTATGAAGAACATCCGTTTCCAACTCTTTTAGGGTGGTAGGAGTTTGGTTTAGCCTTCTTACTCATCACTTGAGTTGGTGTCAAATGTGTTCGATTGTGTTCAAATCTGAACTTCGAGCTGGCTACACCAAGCACTCAATTCCAACCTCATTAAGGTAGTCATCCACATGTGCTCTACGGGGCCTGGTATCCGCTAGCAAGAATCTCTCAGTGACGTGGAAGGCGGGGCAAATGGCACTACATGTTCTTCGATTATGTCTTTGTAAGTACCTATCTTCCTAGCACAACACCCAATTCGATTCCAATTCCAAGGAAATGCCACCCCAGAACAACCAATGCCCCACCATGGAATGCCACCTGCGTACCTTTCTCCTGAGTGTCTCCATATGAAATTACGCCCATCTGAAGCTTTGAGGGCAAAGCTCACCACTACCGTAAAGAGAACTCGTCCCCAATCTTACAATGTCTCATGTTCTATTGTAGAGTGATTTACACTAAGTCTCATGCGACTTTCTCCATTATGTCTCTGTCATACCCACTCAAATGCGTGTCTCGAGCAATTAAAAACCTTTAAGAATAAGAATAATATCAAATGAAATCAACCAAAGAGAAAGATAAACTAAAATCTTTAGGCGTAGCAGAATGAAAGGGCATAATGCTAGTTTTTGCCAAATGGGATAAATCAGTAGCAAAAAAAGGATGGTATGGTATGGTATGGTGGAAAGGGTACTAGGAAGCGGGGTTTGTATTTCCCAGGCACTGCAGCCTTCTGGCTTATTGTACTTTCCTAGTTCCTTAGTTCAGTCAATAGACTCAATCCTTCTTCTTAGAAGTGTCAGGTCATTGACAGTTGTTGCTGCAATTTGATTCCGTAAGTCTTTTCCGTATATTAGGTTAAACCTCCATTGAGCTGTTGCTTCGCATTCGAAGATAATATGAGTGGCTGTTTCCTCCTCATCATTACATAATCTGCAAATGGGGTCATCGCTGTGCAGATGTTTTCTCAGATACCAGTGACCGGTTAGTAGTCCCACCACTCCTCTGAGTTTTGCCCTTTCCAATTGCAGCAGTGTTTTTGCCAATCTTGGTAGGGTTGTTTCATCATAAGTTTACTATGTCTAGCACCGATAGAGTTTATCCACTTCTACTTTTGTTTTGCTTGGATCCATTCTGCGATGGAGGATTCTATGTTTGGGATGGATCCCAAGGATAGGTTCGGGGCTTGCAGATCCTCCTCTGGCCAGTTTGTCTGCTTCCTCGTTACCAAAAATTCCCCTGTGCCCTGGCACCCAAGATATCAGGTTGCTGTATTTTTTCCCAGGTTTTGGAGATTTTGGATGCATTCACTGTCTAGTTTTGATGTAATTCTTTTACATGCTAATGATTTAATGGCTGCTTGGCTGTCTGATCTTATGAGGATTTTTGTGTCAGTGTAACCTCTTCTAAGATTTTCCAGGGCACAAGCATTGATGGCATGTATTTCCGCTTGAAAGACCGAAGTATACTTCCCTAATGAGTTTGATTGCTCATATTTTGGGCTTGTACAGAAAACGCCTGATCCGGTTCCTTCGTTTGTTTTGGAGCCATCTGTGTACCATATCATTGTATCTGATGCTCTCCTGTGTTCTTCCTCTCCTTTATAGTCCGTTGAGACTTTATAGGAAGTTGTGAAGATTGTTTCCGCGATTATGTAGTCAGTCCCCATTTCTAATAATGGGTGTCTGATTTTGGTGATTATGGTTGTATGCCCGAATTGTTTAGTTCCTTTCCAATTTAATTGTTTCTGGAGCCTAAAGAAAGATAATGCATTTAATTTAAATTAAATAAATTGAGTGTGAGTTAAATTTGTTCGTCAGTGTATATATATATATTTTCCGTTCTCTCTTTATCTATTTATCTATCTTCTATCTATATATCTACCTATATAAACAATCTTCATATAAGGAGATAGATACAAAAAAGAGAATGAGTGGAATAAGGAGTTAGATAGAGAGAGATAGATAGATAGATAGATAGATAGAGAGAGATAGAGAAAGAGAGAGAGAAAGAGAGTGAGAGAGAGAGAGAGAGAGAGAGAGAGTGTAAATCCTTCCTTAAAGCTCTCCTTTAATTACAAAATTACAAGCTTATTCAGATCGAAGATCTTAATTTAATGAGGCGTCAAAAGAAAGTCCACACCACCCCTCGTTCTTCCCCAAAACTCGGCTAACTTAGAACTTAAGCGGCGCAAACTTGAACATTAAGCCACTTCCTCGGGACACAAATAAACGAGACGAAACAAATTCAGGGCGGTTTTTTTTTTCTCACTTTCTCATTTCATATTACGAAAGTGATAAGTATTAGTGTCCAACGATGGACTGTGTACGTTCTTTAAGGGTGGACGACCTTCCATGAAAGGTAAATTTTGATAGGGAAGGTTGGGAATATCGAGAGGGTGCCTCCGGTCGGGGGTGGGAGGGCGCAAGTATAGATTTTGTGAGTCCACCCCCACAGCTTCTATACTCCATCCTGCTCTTCGAGCCGTCTCATCGTCCGGACCAGTCCGCCTTTCACAAGTCCCGTCTCGACGGCTATATAAACGCCGCGTAACAGTTCTCGCAGTCTTTCGACGCGACGGTTTACCTCAGACACGGCGCCATCAGTGAGATTTTGAGAAGGAGGAAAGCGGTGCCGGTGAGCTACGTCGAGGATGGTACTAGTGAACGAGGACAGGGAATCTTACAACCGATCGGCATAGGACGCCCGGGGGTTTAACAGGGTAGTGCACAACCCCCGTAAGGGGTGTGTATGTGGACCTAATGGAAGGAATCGGACTGGGAAGGCAACAGGTGAGGGGAGGACGACTAGCCTGGTGGGGGGATCACTAGTCTCGAGACGCAGCAGTCCATTCAGTGTACGACACAGATCCAGTTTAACTGCTCCTGGCTCGATCATCCCTAATTTCGACATGGGTTGTGTACAGTCATATTTCAAAAAAGGTAAACAATAATCACATTATTCTATACATTTATTATTTTGAAAGATTTACTTTTTGACTTGGTCGAAACGTTGATACAAATGAAAGATTTTGATCTTGGTAACACGCCTTTTTTTGTATAATCCGATTTTGTTTTGTTTTTCATTTGAAGTTTGCCGGCATAGAACCTTTGTGCCGGGCTCTGTTCGAACCGCGATCGAATGCACCTTGTACTCGATTCTACCGCCCGGCATTTCGCCCGTTCGGCTAAGATCTATTTTTATTTTCTGAAGTTTCACACATTGCCCCACATTTTGAATCTTGAAAATAGCACGGCGCGTTCGTGTATCTCTTCCCTCTGATCGGTAAAATGTAAATAATTTCCCTGGCTCCCTCGCGATACAACGGCACTGGAGTAAACAAGCCGATCTTCCAATGAATGACACCTTTACGACTAAGACAATAAGTCGAATCGTGTTTATGAAGATCCGACTATAAAAACACTACGTTTAGATCCTCGATTGATCAGACACTCGAATTTAACTTTTGAAAGTAGAAATTTCTTCTGTTTATCCCAGTATCTTAGATCGCCCAAATGAACAAACAACACAAATGGAAATGGAAAAAATACGAAAAATCTATTAGACCATATTATTAATTTTAAGAACGTGTAGTACCTTAACATCACTTAAAGCCACTTATAACCGATAAAAATTTGCATTGATTTTTCTTCAAAAATAAAAAGGTAGAGTAAGAAAGAAAGGGACAGATAAAATGAGACAGCGAGGAATGGAGATGATGATGTTATATTTTACTACGCGGTTTCTACTATTTAACGTACAGAGAAAGAGAAGTTTATAGATAGAAATAAAGAGAGTGAGAGAGTGATAAATTAAAATAGGAGATTAGGATAGATAGATAGATGGATAGATACATACAGAGAGAGAGAGAGAGAGAGAGAGAGAGAGAGTGAAAGGGATAGAGAGAATAAAAGGAAAGGGTTTAGGGAGAAAAAGATACATAAAGAGAGATATAAAGAGAGAGAGAGAGAGAGAGAGAGAGAGAGAGAGAGAGAGTGAGTGAGTGAGTGAGAGAGGGTGGAGGGACAGAGACATGGAAAGGGAGGTTTAGTGAGATTGATAAATTAATAGATAGATATATCATCCCCACAATGTCCAACTATCGAACGTTAAAAAAAACGTGATTCTTTTTTCAGATTCCATAACTTGCTGTTGCATTTGACCAATTGTGGCAAACAACAAATACCCCAGTGATACCCAAACTAAGCGCCGCGCCTCCCCAGGGCGCCGCGCAAATTTTCTGTAACAAAGATTATTATTATTTTTATACTTATAAAAAACCTGAAAACTATACCACTCTTTATAAAACCCTAAACACTAAGACCCTGGTAGCCATCCAATCTCAATGTGGACGTTAACGAGTTGCAATTGTGTACTTTATATTATTGCCCAAAAAGAACTATTCTCTTTTATATTTTTTGCTATTAAGTCAGTTAAGTCAGAAGTGCTATTTCAAAAGGCAGTTTTTTAAATTTCACAAGAAAGTAAGTAATTTTGATTATTTATTTAATAAACTTGCAAACAAAAGAAGAGCTTTAGATATATCAATGCTTTTCTGAGTTCGAAATGAATTACTATTATTATCATAAAGTTCCCGATGAAATAGACAATTGTTTTGACTTGGGGCGCCGCGGAAAAATTATTACATATTAAGGGCGAAACAGAAAAAGTTTCGGAACCACTGCTCCAACTCCCTTCAGAAACGCTGGAAATGGCTTTGAAATAGAGAGGAAGAGAGAGAGAGAATTGTAAATATCATTAAGGCTATACAATAGTTGCCAAGTGTACAATGAATTTTTGGTACGCGAAGAAAGTAAACAGATAAATAATTTAAAATTACCGTTTGGAAATGTCCTGATTTTGGTATCAGAATTAAAGGAGTTTTTTTTGGTCTCCTTAAAAGTTACACATTCGATAGTTGGGCATTTTAGGGACGACGTATAGAGAGAGAAAGTCAGAGAGAGAGAGAGAGAGAGAGAGAGAGAGTGAGTGTGTGTGCGTGTGTGTGTGAGAGAGAGTGGGGGGCGGAAGAGAATGGGAGAGAAGGAAATAGTGAGAAAAGGAAACGGTGAGAGGGTGAGGTGAGAAAGAAGGAAAAAGAGAAAAGGATGGGAAATACAACAAACAAATTTAGTACATGTTAAAAAAGCGCACAAGATCACGTTTCGTCACTTGAAGCCCAAAAGCAAATGGTAGCAAACTAAATTATTGTCCAAACGTACCCAAATTAAAACCCAATCAACCGTTATTTTGAAAAAGTCGACAAAAACGCCGGTTCTTCGAAATTGTTCTGTAAATTTGACGGAGGCCGGTCTTTGTACCGCAGTGAAGAATTTGTTGTATGGATAAGATTAGATTAGATTTATTTTCTTTTTTGGAAAGTTTCCATACAAAAAGAAAGTTAAATTACTCCCACATAAGACAATAGAAATAAAACATTTATTGCACTTCTGCATATTTTGTATTATTTCTTTTAAATTCTGGAAATAGAAAAAAACACTAAAAAGTTTATATTTGAACGATGTTGTTCAAATCAGTCTTTGTTATTTTATTGCACTTCTTAATGACCTTATTGTTGGAATAAAAAAGATTTTTCTTTTTAAATATATTCAAAATAAATCATATCGGCCCACGTGCCACGGGTATTTACTTCTATAGCGGAAACGTCGAAGCAGATTTTTCCCAAATCCGAGCTTTTTGTTTAAAAAAATGAATCATCTGTACATTGAACAATTTTTCTTGGCTTAAACATTTCCAATGTAAGGGGAAAAATTATTGGTGTACAAAAATTGCTCATTGTTATTATGAATCATCTGATGATATTCGGCGCCGGGCTTGCTAAACCATGGAATAATGTTTCTCCCATTTACCGTTCTTTCTACGGAGCTTTTCAATCAAAGAAATAAATATTAAGATGGGGAAAAATACTTGGCATTTAACACTCAGCGTTTCACATGTTTTCCCCATAAAGCACTCATAAACAAGTAATAAATTTATCTTTATTTCTAACTTTTTGCCTTATCTCTCTTCGTACATTCTTCTGGAACCTGTTTGCATGATTGTGCATGTTGTGAAGTTTGTAAAATTTAATCCTGATCTCTTTTTTTAAGTTCTCAAGACAAGATGATCATTTAACTCTTAGCATCTTTGAGCTTTTAATCAGGTTCCATTATTTGTGAAGGTATTGACGAAAAACTAGTTAGTTTAGCACATAAACAATACACGTAGACTCCTTTTTGTACAAGAACTGGTTAGTTTTTTGATTTTTTTCAACACCGTCGAACCATGCCAAGGGCTAGGGTTGAAGAAATCAATACAATCCTGTTGGAGCGAGGCTGAAATTTTCTCAGTACGTTATTTGAATTGAGAACACTCGTGAGTCGTGTGAGAGGATTCGGATTTATTGGGAAATTTCTGATCGATTTTCATTTATCCGGGCCCGTAATGAGTTTATGTAACAGAAAACAAAAAAAGGACTTTTCAACTTTTCTGTTTTAAACATTTCTTGTAATTATACACGATTTACGACAAAAACAAAAATTGTGTCACGGGCAGGTTTCGAACCCACACGACATTAGCACAAAAGCGGAACAATATGAAGATTGCTCGAATTCCCTTGACACATTTTTTTTCCGTTTAAAAAATTTTGAGGTTGTTTCGATGAGCAACAAATAATTTTTTTGATTATCAATGAGGTACAACCCTCAACAAGACTGGCAAAATCACTGCTGCAATTGGAGAGGGAAAAATTCAGAGGAGTTGTAGGTCTACTAATCGGTCACTCGCATTTGAAAAAACATCTACACAACATGGGCATATACAACGATGGTCCCATCTGTAGATTATGTAATGAGGAGAATGCGAAGCAACAGCTCAATGAAAATTTAACCTAACATACGAAAAAAACTTGGGGAATAAAACTATAGCAGCGACAGTCAGTGACCTGATACTTCTAGAACCCAGAGGAAGATAAGTCTTCATAATAGAATAGAATTAACTCTTAGAAAACTGTAAAATAAAGTCTTTATAAGAGAAGGATAAGTCTACTGCACTGAACTAAGGAACTAGGAAGAAGGTACAATAAGCCAGAAGGCTGCAGTGCAGCAGGAGCACAAACCCCGTTTCCTAGTATCCATATTACCAAACCATACCACACCATCAGTGAGAAAGAAGAAAACATTAGTAACATAAAGAATGACACAGTAATGAGTGTTTCCTCATCACTGTCTTATTGAAATCAGGTCTCATCATCAATTTACGAGGTTGTTCAGTTATCGACCAACTTTGATTATAATCTAGTTTGGGATGTTCTTGGGTTATGGAACGACCATTATGTTATTGGACCGCATATCCAATAACATCCCAAACCAGATTATAATCAAAGTTGGTCGATAACTGAACAACCTCGTAAATTGCTGGGTCAGCCTTAATAGAATGAAAAAGTGAGTTTGAACATAGAGATCAAAAAGTGTATTTGGACTTTTGATAGGATTAAGAAAGAAATGGATAAAAAAGGACCACATACCCAATAATATCCCAAACCAGATCATCATCAATTGTCATCATCAGATTTGTCTTCTGGGGAAGACTGGTTTTTTTTATACAAGTTTATACAAGAAGAAAACAGTAGTAACATAAAGAAGGGGACCGCGGTAGCCGAGGCGTATTTGCCAGGCGGTTTTGGGTTCGAATCCGTTCACAGCCCATGGAATTTTAATTGAGAATAATATGAAAAAAGTATTATAAAACAGTTCAGATGTCCAACTGGTCCACGACTCACTAATAATAGTTGCACTTTAAGCCCTCCTGTATAACAGGAGTTACTTTACTTTTACTTACATTTCACTAAAAAAATCCCGAAAATTTTGATCTTTTTCTGTAACCTGAAGTAGTTGGTCAATAAAGTCTAGGTTTTTGCAAATTTGGAAAATTGGACGGTAAG